TGCTAGAAGCCTAGATGCAACAGTCAATATCTCTTCTATAAGCTGGAACCAGGCATGGGAGACACTGATGTGTTAATAGCTCGGTTCAAAAATGAGTCACCTTCCAACCTGTTGCCAGATGTGATGAAAGTCCCAATTCTAACCATGGGCTGTTTGCACATGCGAGATTCAGAACCTCAGCTGTGGGCTTCGTCCATGTGTGAGAATAACAATCACAAATGTTGGGTAATGTGCCTATGAGAGGCAAAATTATACCTCTGCAATGGACTCGGACTCTGATAAGACCAAAGTATTTATACAAACTTTGTGTGTGTCATAATCATCTGTAACCTTTATACAATTAGGAGATTCAGAATATTGCTGATTGTTCTACATAACTTTATCTATGAGAGTCAAAGTCTCTTCTTTTAGCTGGGCACTCATATGATAGTCATCATTATTCCTGTGACCTGAACCTAGGTATATGTAACAATCCTATCTCTGGGCAGAACCAGGCAGGAGAGTTACATCACCTCAATACTGAACCAGGGATATATTAGTATCCCCTCTGTGAGTTGAGTGCTTGTAGGATATTCACATCACTGTGGTTCTGGGACTAGTGATGTGTCACAATGTCCACTATGAGCAGAACCTAGGCTGAAGAATTACATCACCTGAGTGCTGGGCTCATCAATATATCAAAATCCCCTTTGGGAATGGGTGCCAGGCAAGAGAGAAAAATCACATCACCTGGAAATGAGACCAGAGGTATCTCACAGTGCCACCTATGAGAAGGGACTAGGCAGGAGGGCCACATTACCAAAGTTATTGGCTTAGGTATATGTCACAATCCAAACTGTGGGCTTTATTCAGGCAGTATATTCAAATCAGTCATGTTTCATCTGGGCAAAAGTATATGTCACATTCACACCTGTGGGAAGGTCTAGGAATGGAATTGACATTCCTGCATATGTTCTGGGTCCAGGTATAAAAGTATGTACCTCATAAACTTTTACACACTTCATGTGTCCAGGTATGCAGTCATGATTTCAACAGTAAATTGAATCCATCCATGAAAGCTTCAAGCTCAGACAGCAAACATTAGGAGAGTTAGAGCCTAACGTATTTGCTAAATATTGGTCAGAGATTCACCACCTGAAGGCTGGATCCACATAGAAGAGTAATAATACCAACTTTGGACTGCCATTGGGTATGAAATTCAGAACTTCAGTAGTGGGCTGTGTCCATGTGAGAGTGTGAAAATTTTTACTGTTGTCAGTGAATGCAATGAGAGTCAAACCCTTAACACTGTACTCGGCCTTGTTATGTTATTCTTTGCACCATATCCTGCTTTTTATAATCTGTTTGAGACTTGCAATCCACTCTATGGCCTTTGTGCCAATATAAAATCATGATTTTATCTGTTGCTCCCAGCCTAAGGATGAGATTCAACATCTATTCTATTGACTGTTTTAGATATGAGAGTCATTATCAGGCCTGTCAACTTGGTCCAGCAATGAGTCACCCATTTTACCTATGGCCAGATCCATATGTGATAGTCAAAATTTCAACTGTGGACTATGTCTATGAGTGACATTCAGGGCCTTAACAGTGAGCTCTGATCATGTGCAAGATTAAAACTTTTAACTGTTGGTTGTGTGCTGGGCCTGTGATGACAGTCTCTGTACCACCAAAGGGTATTATATAATATGCATAAGCTATCTAATACTTTGTGATCTTTTCAGAAGTAGAAGACTGAGGACACAATACATTGCTGTAAGCCAGCTAGAAGAGTCAAAATCTCTTCTATTGGTTGTGTCCATGTAATAATAATTATACCTATGAACTGGAATCAGGTATATGTGACAATATCATCTGTTGACAGAAGTCAGTAATAAAAGCCACATCACCTGAATTCTGAGCCATAAATATATCAGTATCCATTCTATAAAAAGATCCCTGGCAGGAAAGTTACATCACCTGACCGCTGAGCCTACTGATATGTCAGGGATATGACAGAGCCAAGGACAAAAAATGAATAACCTGTGTGCTGAATACAGCAATATGTCACAAATTATCTGGTGGACAAGCCCAAGAGAAAAAGAGAAATCCCAGCAGGGTTAGCATTCAAGAAGATGCACACCCCACAGCATCTAAGCAGGCCAGAAGTATCGGGGGAATCCTTGGGATCGCCCTGGGAATCCCTGAAGCTCCACTGAAGCCTTTCTCAGCCTGCCTCTGACCAGCTCGACTCCTGAAATCAAGAGAACCTGGCGATGATCTTGGGAGAGAATGGGCCATCACACAAAGCCAAGGCACTGCCATGGAGAGCCCCTATTTTGCCAAGCTGCTGAGACAGCGGTTCCCCGGGCCACGAGGGCAGTCACTGTGACACAAACCCCGAGTGGGAAATCAGGCTTTTGATGCACTGCTTGAGCATGCACATTGGCATACATGGCTGCCCAGCCACAAAGTCCACACTCACCCGCCAAACAAACTTTTATCATGTAACTTCCCTGACAGAAGTTTCATTGTCTCCAGTTCCCTTGCAAGTTGCACACTCAAATCTCTAGTCTTCAGCCTGCGGCTTCTTGTGAAGCACAGACACTCTCTGTCTTCTCTCTCCAGGAACCCTTTCCTGCCATCAGAGGGATAAGAGAAGAAAATAGAAGAAAACAAGACTAGGATATAAGGGAAGCAATGTTCAGATAGAAATCTTCTCAAAGGTAAGGCTGTGAAAAGGTGTGTAACTTCTTCAAACCTCATGTATTCCTCCATCAGGAACAAAGCTCCGTTTTTCTCTTCTGCTTCTCTGGAAAAACTAGAACAACATCAACAACATGGCAACTCCAGACCATAACAAATTTTGGGGGAAGAAAAAAATAAGTCTCCACTGTCAAACACGGTTACTTTAGTTAGGCTCTTAAGAAAACGTCTATTAATCATTCATACTTTATGGCACCACTATATGTTGTGAGCATCAATTCCACAGGAAATAAAAAGTAAAAAATTTAATGTACTTTATAAATACTTTCAAAAATGTCTGTGAGTAGCATTTAATCAGAGCGTGTCAGTTTTCCTAGCTTGTCAGGTGTGATTTCTACACTGGAAATGCCAAACCTGGAATCCTCCTAAACACGTAGTTTGCCCAAGTTACCCAGGTGCAGATGTCTTTATGGAAAGAGAGAATTATAATCTGTCCCTGAAAAAGTGAAGGGTGCATTAAATGAGGAAGTCAAGAAAAGGCAATTTAGGAACTATGTCTCTGTTTCCATCCATCTTGCCCATCAATGTCATGAGAATTATCTCACGAAAGAAAGTAGGAAGAAAAGTGAAGACAATACCCAGAAGAGGCCCTTAAATGCCAACGCTACATCTCCAGTAATGACCTTTAAAGAACAATACTGAGACTTGCTCCTGGAAATATCAGTCATAACCCATAAGCACTGTCATCTCGAGAACCTACTCAAAGTACAGAGTCTCGGTCCCTCTCTGACACAGGAATGAAAACCTGTGTTCTTAACAAGAATCCTGACTAGGAAACCTACCAACACTGTAGTCCCTGAAGGGGACCTGAGGACAGTACCAGCCCTACATGTGCGGCAGGACCAAGGGCCCATGCAAGAGTATGGTTTTCGCTGTGCTGTGCTCGTCTACTTTCTGCAGGAGTGACCCTTTCTGGGGACGAGCAGGTGATTAGGAGAGCTGCGGTTGGGAGCCAGACCTCCACTACACCAAGGCTTCAGAAACCAGGAGCAACACAAAGAAGGCAGGGCCCTACAGCCCCAGGCTGCTGAGGACACACATCCACCAGAAAGTAGACAGACTACAGAGCAATGGGGCTGGAGTGCACTGGCCACACTTATGTCCAGCATACACGACTCGAACACACAAATGTTAACAGGCAGAAAGATACACATGGACACACGTAGACGGACACACACAGACAGAAACACACACACACAGAGAAAGAAAGACACACGGAGACATCCAACATTCGCAGACAGCTCCTGAGGCTGCGGGGTTCTGCTCTCTGCCAGGAAGTGCCTCGGGGAGAGAACAGCCCCCAGCACACAGGCTGGCGGTACCTGGAATTCGCGTCAAGGGCAGCTTTCAAGGAGACGCACCTTCCACAGCGTCTGAGCAGGCCTGAAGTATCCTGGGGATCCTCGGGGATCACCCTGGGCAACCCCGAAGCTCCTCTGCAGCTTTCCTCAGCTTGGCTCCACCCTGTGCGACATTTGAAATCGCCGGACCCTGGCGACGATCCCCGGGAGAGGCGGGGGCCGTCGCCCAACGCCGAAGCACTGCCACGGTGCGCGCCTGCCTTGATAAGCCGCTGAGACGGCGGTTCCCCAGGCCACGGAGGCGGTCATTGTGACGTGAGCCCCGGGTAGGCGCTCGCGCTTGTCACCCGCCGCTTGCGCATGCGCATTGGAGTGCCTGGCTGGCCAGCCTCAATGTCCGCGCTCCCCCACCGGCTGGCAGCCGTGGCGCGGGGACATGCTGGCGGAGGTGTCCGAGGCGGCCCCTGGGAAGGAGGCTGCGTGCCACAAGCAGGGCAGGAGCCCGATCGTCCTGACTCCAGCACCACCCCGAACCGGCTTTCCGTTTCCGGTCCTCTGAAGGGCCAGGGTGCTTCAGACCGCGAAGTGGGCGTTCCAGAATACTCTCCGCAGTAGATTCGGGATCGGACCGCATGGGCAGGGATCGGGTCCCACAGGGCTGGAGATTCAGTCTGCTGAGCTGTGGCGGTGGTCCCTGGACCCCAGAAAGATGCCTGAGACCCTCCGGGAGGGTGTCGGTGAATGTTCCCCAGCTCCCTGAGCTCACTGCCCCTCCTTCGACCCGGGCCAACCACCAAGGAGTCCTGCCTAGTGCTCTGCAAGCCCAGGGAGCCCTGCTTCTCATCACTGCTGTCCAGAGAAGGCGGCAAGAAAGGAAAAGCCGCGGCAAGCGCAGGGTGCAGTAGAGGAGGCAACAACTGCATCTGGCCTCCCCTGGGGGCAGATTGGGTGCAGACAGCTTCTCAGAAGCTTTCCGGGGCGAAGCCAAATCCCGAGACGGATATCCAGGCATGCCGCTGAGGACTCCCATGAACGCCAAACACAACATGCTCACGGATTTAGTCACTTTATTGTTTTGACAGAAAACTTCATCATCTTGCTTCCAAGCGTTTTGATCAAAATTGCTTTGATGGCCTCTACACGGAGACTCCTTGTCAACTTGACCTGTCGAGAGAAAAATAATTCCCGGTGTCAAAAATGCAGACTCTCACCCTTGTAAACACCTAAGTCCAGCGGGTCACCTTGTGTGGGAGATGACTCAGTGGATGAAATCTCTTTCTGAAGGACTGTTTTCACTCAATCCTATGTTAAGGAAGGTCCTACCCTGCCGTTTGGTTTTACATGTTTGCTGTGATGAGCAAATCCTAAACATGGAATTTTCATCCCCTCCACACAAGCTTTGAGCATGCCACTTCCCTGACGTCAGTTTCGTTGTCTTCAGTTCCCTTGCAAGGTGCACATTCAGATCTCCAGTCTTCAGCCTGGGGCTTCTTTTGCAGCACAGACCCTCTTCGTCTTCTCTCTCTAGGAACTCTTTCCTGATATCCAAGGGCTAATAAAGGAAAATGGAAGAAAACAGGATAAGGATATAAGGGAAACAATTTTCAGAAAAAAACCTTCTCAAAGGTAAGGCTGTGGAAAGGTGCATAACTTCTTCCAACCTCATGTTTTCCTCCCTCAGGAACGAAGGTCTGCTTTCCTCCTCTGCTTCTCTGGGAAAGCTATCATGACAACAACATGGAAACTCCAGACCATATCAAGATTTTTTTTTTCTTAAAACAAAAGAAATAATACGTTTATTCTGTCAAACATGGTTGCTTTAGTTAGGCTCTTAAAAAAATATCTATTTATCCTTCATACATTATGGGACCACTATATGTTGTGACCATCGATGCCATGGGAAACAAAAAGTAACCAATTCAATGTACTTTATATATACTTTCACAAATGTCTGTGATTAGCAGTTACTCAGAGCGTGTCAGTTTTCCTAGCTTGTCAGGTGTGACTTCTAGAGCTGAAATGCTAAACCTGGGATCGTCCTCCACATGTAGTTTCACATGTAGTTTCACCATGTTGGCCATGCTGTTCTGGAACTTCTGACTTCAAGTGATCCACCTGCCATGGCCGTCCAAAGTGCTGGATTGAGCTGCAGTCAAAAAAATGACATGGCAAAAGGGAAATAAAGCTACCTGGCCTTCTTCCTCTTTTGCCATGTGATTTTTTTCTTTCACTTAAACTAAGTGAAGAACCTCATATGATGATCTCTCTATGCACCTGCTGTGTTTTACCCCTCTTGGTTATGTTAGTGAAGGTATTTAGGAATCATGCTTATATTGGGGATGTTTGTTAGCTGAATTTTGACTCATTTAGATACTGATAAGTGTCCTGAAATTTTTTTTTAAAATGTGTCTTGGGAGGTTGAGGAGGGTTGATCACGAGGTCAAGAGATCGAGACCATCCTGGTCAACATGGTGAATCCCTGTCTCTACTAAAAATACAAAAAATTATCTGGGCATGGTGGTGCGTGCCTGTAATTCCAGCTGCTCAGGAGGCTCAGGCAGGAGAATTGCCTGAACCCAGGAGGCGGAAGTTGCAGTGAGCCGAGATTGCGCTGTTGCATTCTAGCCTGGGTAACAAGAGCAAAACTCCATCTCAAAAAAAAAAAATGTGTCTTTAAGTCCGACGTCTCCCCAGTGGTATGGCCCTGTATTAGGGAGACATAAGGACGATGTATGAGTCTCCTTCTCCCTCTCTTTCTTTCTCTTCTAGTCCACACATACTACTTCTCCATGACTCATGCATATGGCCAATCCTCTTCCTTCACATACAGCCTGGTTCTCTGATGTTCTCGTCCCCTCAAGTCCATGACCTGGAGAAGTAGCAGTAGAGGACGGGTACACCCGCCTTCACTGTTTTCCTTTCTGTACACCTACTCGCCCCATCTGCTGCCACAGTTTGATGACTGGCTGGCGGCTAAGAGTGCTATGATTAAAGCTGCTAATTACACCCTCATGTTGACTATTTCACATGGGGGCAAGGAGTTTTAAAATGAGCTATGCCTGTCATAGCCTGGGGTTATGTCAAAAGTTCATGCTATTGATGCTATTCCTAAAAGATGAGGAATGGCATCGTGAAGTTTACCCCTCAGCATGAAGTGTTGGTCCTAGTTCAAGTCCCATCCCTATATCCCATCAGACTGGGCCTAAGAACCTGTGTGCAGGAACTGCAGATGCCACATATTGAAATTTCTAGTTTCTCTGGCACTAAACATGATAGCTCTGCTTACTTGCAATATCTGTTGCCTTTGAAATATACTTTCAGTGATGGTGTTTCCTATGAAAAGACAGAGAAAAAATCATTGCATCAGTGTACATTGCTGGACCAGCTGAACCCTTCACCTACCCATCAGCTCTGTCAACCCAACTGAGGCTGGCTTGCTAGTGACAGTGAGCAAAGGTGGTCTTCAGCTTTCTGATACTAGAGAGGGCTAGGTTACATAGACCATCAGGGTTAACTTTTGTATTTCTCTCAGGTCTTCTTGGGTTTCTCATTGAAACAAGGCAAGAGCAATAAGGTTATGATACCCAGCATATACTCCATCACTCCAGAAACTCAGAATCCAGCAGATAACATAAAAAGAACAATGCGTCTGAGTGCAGTGGCTCATGCCTGCAATCCTGGCACTTTTGAAGGTTGAGGCAGACAGATCTCTTGAGCACAGTAGTTTGAGACCAGCCTGGGATACATAGTGAGACCCCTATCTCTAGTAAATATACAAAAAATATCCAGGGATGTGGCATATATCTGTAGTCCCAGCCATCTTGATCTCAAGTGATCTACCTGCCTCAGCCCCCAAAAGTGCTGGGATTACAGGCATGAGCCACTGCACTAGACCCTATTTTTCAAAGTTTTTTCAGCTTTTATTTTGGGTCTGAGTGCACAGGTGCAGGTTTGTTACAAAGGTAAATCGCATGTCCCTGAAGTTTGCTATGAAAGTAATCCTATCACCCAGGTAGTGAGCCTCATACTTGGTAGGCAGTTTTTCTACCCTGGCCTGCCAACTCCCCCACATCTCATATTCTCCAATGTCTGCTGTTTCCATCCTTACATCCATGTGTATTCAGTGTTTAGCTCCCACTTATAAGTGAGCCTACATGGTATTTGGGTTTTTGTTCCTGCATTAGATTAATGGTTTCCAGCTGCATTCACATTGCTGCAAAGAACAGAATTTTGTTCTTTTTTATGATTGCAAAGTATTCCATGGTGTATATGGAGCACATTTTCTTTATCCAATCCACCACTGATGGACATCTAGGTTAATTCCATGTCTTTGCTGTCTTGGATTGAGCTGTGATGAACATGTGAGTGTGTGTGTCTTTTTGATAGAGTGATTTATTTTCCTTTGGGCATATACCCAGTAATGGGATTTCTGGGTTGAATGGTAGTTCTTTTTAAGTCCTTTGAGAAACCCCCAGACTGCTTTCCACAGTTGCTGAACTAATTTTCATTCCAACAGTGTATTAGCCTTCCTCAAGGAGTAATGTCTAAAGAGCATCTTGCAGTGACATGAGAGGTATACAAAAGTATGAGCTGCCACTTTGAGATCAGAGGCCAAACGAAAAGCTTTTTCTTTAGTAGAACACCCAAGATGAATGGACAACACTACTTACAGTCAATCTCTAGGAAGTAGCTTTCAACTGACATAGAAAAACAAAACAAAAATGGCTGTTCTTGGGGCTAATTCAGAGGATTTCCACCGAATACTGCCGGAATCTGTTAGAGCAACAATAAAGATAAAAACGAAACTTTGAAAACAAATTTAAAAAGTTTAAAGGTACTTTAAACTGGCACACTCTGGATATTGTTTATGGAAGAGTTTTCCTTTCAATATTGATCATATGGAAACTCAAAGAAGCCCAATTTTAGTTATCTATACAGACCTTGATTATCGTGATTGTGTTAACCAACACTCCCCTCTTCTTAATTTTTAGCTCATCTCAAATTCCCTTCTCTACATATTTTATGACATTTTTTTTGCTGTATACATCTCGACTTCAGATCTTTTTCACACACTGAGAGGAGGCTGTATATTGTGAATGCTTTACAGCTGCAGTGCTGAGTTCCCTGAACAGAAAACATAACTGTTTGATCGAGTGTGGAGATTTTCCAAGTTTGATTTTCTAACGATTCATCCTTTCCCTTGTACTTGTGATAAATTCCAGTTGTGTAGTTTAAATGGTCATTGAATAGATGTGCCGCTCAGCTGTCTACAGTTTTAACATGCTTGAACAATCTCAAAATGAGGCAATCGTTTGAGCAGAAACCCAAAGCAGCCTGGGAGGCAGAGCTGCCTGATACCGATCCTGAGTTCCACAGCCCCGGGCATTTCCCCTCAGACAGGCTCTGAGTATGTCTGTAGCAAAGTGACCATCAGGTTACCTTTTTTGTTCTTTTTGCTTAGAGAAACTCAGTCAGATGACTTTGCATGTGCCTAAAATCAGTTTCACCTGATGAGTTTCATTTCAAGAAGGTACAAAGATAAAAAAACCTGGAGCCATGTTGTTTTGTTTCTTTCCCAGCTTATAGAGTGCTTCAAGGGAAGAGGCCTCTGGTCTCCCAGTTCTGCCCTTGTTCTTTTTTTTTTTCTAAAACATCTCCTTTTTCACAGTGGGAGACAGTGTTTGAAAACCAACATTTCCAGACATGGAAGAGAGAGACCAAGTATTGGAAATCTTCAGTGTTTGAAAACCCACATTTCCAGACATGGAAGAGAGAGACCAAGTATTGGAAATATTTTCCTATGGCCCACTTCCCCAGTTCCTAATTTCATTTTTTTTATTCGTAGTCAAGACTGATGGACTTCCTGGTTCTGTTTTGATCATGTGGAAGAGGGAGTTGCAATATGACTGTTTGCTTGTTAAGGAGTTGGCAGTAGTCATAACACTGAGGAGGCAGTGTAAAGAGTTAAGTCTCGGCACGGTGGCTCAGGCCTGTAATCCTAGCACTTTGGGAGGCCAAGGTGGGTGGATCACCTGAGGTCAGGGGTTCAAGACCAGCCTGGCCATCATGGTGAAACCCCATCTTTAAAAAAAAGAGTTAAGTCTCTTTGGTTTTTATCTCTCAGTAATCATAAAGGTGCATCTATTGAGCTCCTACTCCAATCCCACTAGTGAGTCTTGGATTAACACCACTGCCTTTGATGGATTGGTGCAGACATCCTGTGGCTCTTTTTTGTCTTTTTCTTTTATAAGACAAGGTCTCATTCTGTTACCCAGACTGGAGTACAGTGGTGTGATCTCAGCTCACTGCAGCTTCCTCCCACCCCAGGCTCAAATGATCCTCTCACCCCACTCTCCTGAATAGCTGGGATTAGAGGTGCAGACCACCACACTCAGCTAATTTTTGATAGAGACAGGCTTTTGCTGTGTTTCCCAGACTAGTCTCGAACTCCTGACCTCAAGCTGTGCACCTGCCTGGGCCTTCCAAAGAGCTAGGATTACAGGCGCGAGCCCCCTGGCCTGGCCTCTGGTGGCTCCTTTCTTTCCTCCCCAAACCCGTCTCCACCCAATTCTGACAGCTGCACCCCTAATGACTTTCCCATTAAATCATGTCTGGCCACATTACTTTCTACTGAAGAGTCTTCAAAGGCTCCCAGTGCGACTAACTCTTCCTTAACATAGCCCTTTTTATCTGACCCCTAATCACAGTCTCATCTAAACTCCAGCCACATCTCATGGCTTGCTATTTACAAAACACGCCCTGTTTTTCTCCTACTTAGACTTGTATGTATGATATTTCCTCTGCTGAAACCCTTCTCCACCTCTGTTGTGACTCAACAGAGATTCCAGCTCTTATGCGAAGCTGCCTCTGAACCCCTGCCTCAGAAAGTTCCCTGTTCTTCCCTCCCTCTCTTCTTGTGTGTATTCCGGTCATAGAGCTTTCATGGTCTATTGATGTTTCCCATCAATGGCCTCCTTCTGCTAGAACATGCACATCTTAAGGACAAGAAATATGTTTTATTTACCTACAGGTTGGCAACATTTTAAATGCAAGAAGTAAAAGAGACACCTCCTGCCGGGCATGGTGGCTCATGCCTGTCATTCCAGTACTTTGGATGGCTGATGCAGGTGAATCACAAGGTCAGGAGTCAGAGACCAGCCTGATCAACATGGTGAAACCTAGTCTGTACTAAAAAAAATACAAAAATTAACCCCACGTGGTGGTGAGTGCCTGTAATCCCAGCTACTTGGGAGTCTGAGGCAGGGGAGTTGCTTGACAGGGATGGTGGAGGTTGCAGTGAAACAAGATCATGCCACTGCACTCCAGCGTGGGTTACAGAGGGAGACCCTGTCTCAGAAAGAGAGAGAGAGAGACAGAGAGAGAGAGAGAGAGACAGAAAGAGAGAGAGAGAGACCAACCTCCACCTATCTGTGCAACCTTGGCTGTGTCTCTTAATTCTTTCTCGACCTCTTTGGATGACTTCTCTATCAAGTGTATATTAGAAAATGCCCACCCTATGTTAGTGCCCTATGATTTGAGATTATTGGAGAACATCATAAATTGGTCCCCGGGCTGTATTTGATAACTGCCCAATCACACTCTGCAGTGTAATGTCAGCCACCATTTCCCCCATTACTATTGCTCAGTGATGATAACAATTTCATAAATGATTACACCATGAAGAAAGTTAGGGATGGATACTGTTTGATCAACTCCTAAAAGATGATTCCTCTGTTAGATTAAATGGTTCACTTTCAGGATATTTTCTTCTCTATTGACAACATAACTCTTTATGACTGTTATCTCCTCCAGGAAGAATTATTGAAAAGTACAGTGACATTTAGAAAGAGGTAAGTCAAAGATTGTTTGGTTTGTTAACTTTTTGCTTCTTACTTGCAAAATAAAAGAGAACCAGCAGTGTTCACTGGAGCGTGTGTGGGTTATTAATCATTTACTCAATCTATTGATGCTTGTTAATTGCAGTAGCTGAGAAAAGTTAGTTAACGATGTGCCTGCTTACACCACATTATAATTATGATGGTAGTTCCCCTATTATTTGGGCTGAGTAAGTGTTCCGATTAGAAACCTTAATTTTTGAGCTGATTGTCTTCACCATTTTAAATCACATTGGGCCACATCTTGGAAGACAATTTCTGGAAGCAGATACATTGCTTCCCAAAATTATTTTTATGCAGCACAGAAGTTCTCTCCCTCAAATGACAGAGACTGTAAAGTGTGTTCTACTTTCAGGAACTATTGTGTTAAGCCCCAACCAGCAATGGCCTATGTAAATTAATCCAAAAGAGAAGAAGATGGTTGCTGAACTAGAGGCCACCTTGACCAAAATCAGATCTCACTGGGGAAGTAAAATTGTACAAGTCACCCATGAAGTGAGATATGGGCTACACTTTTCTTGCCTTGACTTGGTTTCAGAATGGGTCTGATTGCAACCAACAGAAACCAAATTACAACATATTTAAAGTTCATATTTTTTGACAATGAAATTTATTGGCCCATGAAATTAGGAATGCAAAAGGTAAGTTGTCTTCAAGCCAGACAGGGTAAAGGGGTTAAACTTGTGTCACTCACGTCTTTACTTGTCCATCATCTTTTGACTAGCTCCTGAGTGTGACTTCATTCTGGGGCAGATCGTCTTCACAGGACTACTTACAGCCTCTGTACCAGTGTTCCCTAACCCTTTTGGCATTAGGGACTGGTTTCATGGGAGACAGTTTTTCCACAGATGGAAAAATGGAGAGAATGATTTTGTGATGATTTAAGTGCATGTTATTTCTATGATATGTTACATTATAATATATAATGAAACCATTACATAACTCATCATAGTGTAGAATCAGTGGGACCCCCGAGCTTGTTTTTCTGAAACTAGATGGTCCCATCTCGAGATGATGGGAGACGGTGATAGATCATCAGGCATTAGTTTCTCATAAGCCACATGCCGCCTAGATCCCTCACATGTACAGTTCACAGCAGGATTTGTACTCCTGTGAGAACCTAATGCTGCTGCTCATCTAACAGTAGGAGGTAATGTGAGCTCTGGAGACTGGCTGTAAATATAGATTAAACTTTCCTTGCTCACCTGCCACTGTCTCCTGCTGTGTGGCCTGGTTTCTAAGAGACCATCAATCTGTACTAGTCCATAGCCTGGGATCGATGGACCCCTGCTCTAGACTATATCTTTTACAGCTCCTGTATTGAAGTGCAAAGCAAGACCTTCTCACACGTGTGTTCCATATATAAAATAAAAGGTGTCATCCCAGCACTTTGGGAGGCTGAGATGGGTGGATCACGAGGTCGAGAGATAGAGACGAGCCTGGACAATATGGTGAAGCCAGTCTCTACTAAAAATACAAAAATTAGCTGGGCATGGTGACATGTGCCTGTAGTTTCTGCTACTTGGGAGGCTGAGAGGCAGGAGAATTGCTTGAACCTGGGAGGTGAAGGTTGCGGTGAGCCGAGATTGCCCCACTGCACTCCAGCCTGGCAACAGTGTGAAACTCTATCTCAAAAAAAAAAAAAAAAGAAGGTATTAAGTCTGTTTGGATGACATCCTCACCCTTTAGCTCATCCTTGAAGCTAGAAGGTGAGTGAATGTTGATTTCTAGCTAGTCTATACCATGTGTCCACAGCAGGAGCACAAGTAGGCTCTGCATAGCTTCACTAAACCCACCCCCATGAAAAGTATTCTGTTAGTGGAAAGAGTGATGTTGCTACCAGAAAAATAAATGTAGAAGAGACAATGAACAAATATTAAAATATAAATTTACTACTCCATGGTTGTGTCCTATAACTAATTCCAACACTTGGCTGACCTGATAGCCAAAGAAACTGCCATCAATTCTTAATGGCCATCATAGCTCTAAACTCCATTAAAGATTTTATTTCAAGTAGGATCTTTAAATATGGTGGCCTTAAGATCTGGTGCTACCGAACAGTCAGCTATGCAGTCTTGATAAAGACAGGTGGTCAGGTTCATTGGATTCTATTCACGTCATTGATAGTGGCCCCTTGGTTGTGGTACTCATTGGAAGGATGTGAGTCTGCTATGTGCAGATGGCAGCAAAAGGGAATTAATTTTGCTTTGGAAATGCAGCATGAGCAAAATGAGTTGTGTCCTGGTTATCTTGAGTCCTTGAAAAATAGTTTAGAATGGTTTTTAATGGGTTCCAGGCATGAGAAGGGGTCCAAGCATGGTGGACCAGTTTTCCTCTCTAGAGGAGACAGTGGAGGATCAGGGGCACCAAGTCTTGCTTGAAGGCACTTCATCATTTCTAAGACTCAAGTGGACATAAAAGTGCAACAGAGATGCTTTCTGAGAACACACAAAATCTGGGCAAGAAGGGAACAAAGAAGTGGCTGTTGCTAGTGCATAAAACCTATTTATTCTTATGAAAGATAGTGTACTCATTTGTGATTCTAATATATTTTTTGTTTATCATTTGATTAACTGTGTAGAACCATGGCATGGTTTAATATTTTGTACAGAACTTGTCTCTTAATGTTATAATCTGTCTAGAGAGAAAAATAAAAGCAGCTAAATATCCTATTTCCTTCCTGCTATGAATTCATCTGTGTCACTGGTGGACATAAACACTTCTTTAAAAAATTCTGCAGCATTTTGGGAGGCCGAGACAGGTGGATCACAAGGTCGAGGGAACGAGACCATCCTGGCCAACATGGTGAAACTCTGTCTCTACTAAAACTACAAAGAAATTATCTGGGTGTGGTGGCATGCACCTGTAGTCCCAGCTACTTGGGAGGCTGAGGCAGGAGAATTGCTTGAACCCAGGAGGCAGAGGTTGCAGTGAGCCAAGGTCCTGCCACTTCACTCCAGCCTGGCCCCTGGTGATGGAGCGAGACTCTGTCTCAAAAAAAAATTCTGCAATAACTCAACTTTTAGTCTGGTAGTACCTTTATGAAATGCATACCTGGAGGGATGGGTCAAAATCTCCTGAACTTTTTCATGTTTCCTGATTTATTTCAATTGATAAACATAATTTGATTTACTCTCCATGGCCAAACTATAAACACTACCTTTCATTTTATTCTTTCCTTCCTGTCCCACCTTCCAGGGAACGTTTCACTTAG